ATCTCTGTAGTCTGGAGATGAGTTGTAATTCCTGGAGATCTCCAAGTCACCCCCGGAGGTCAACAATACTACCCTTCTAGGTGGGATTGAACCTGGGGCTTTACGCACATACATGACACTGAGCCACAGCTCCTCATCTAAATATCATAGAAAGTTGCCCTATTATACTGTCAGACCCTTGGCCCATCAAGGTCAAAATGGCTTCCTCTACCAGGCAGCAGCTCTTCAGGGTTGCTGGTCAAGGTCTTTCCCATCACCAGCTACCCAATAATTTTAGCTAGAGAAGTTGGGATTGATCTGTGACCTTCTGCCTGAAAAGCACATGTTCTGCCTATGACCTGTCCCCTGTCTTCAAAGCAGCTGCCTGGAGCTGCTGCTTTGCCATCCAGTGTGCTGCAACATGTGGTCGGCATGTTAAAACTGGGAGCATGGTTGAAATCTTTACTCTGTGATGAAGCTCGTGCTGCATGGCTCTGGCCTTGTCACCCTCCCTTGGGCTAATGTACGTCACAAGGTTACTGTGAGGATCAAAAAGAAAACTTTTAGAATGGAAAAGTCATACCTGCATGGGGCATAATTTATAAGCAGACATAATATGGGAGACTGAACATGTTTATGGCCTACACAGTGTGGAAATTAAGCTGTGGCTAAAAGTACAATTTCCATGCATTTCAGATCAGAGGTTTAGAGTTCAAGTACCTTTAACCATCACTTAAACTATAAGGCTTCTTAGAATTTCAAGGGGTTTTGAAAAGGAAAGAGATTGAAGCGTGCCCCTAGTATGTAATTCCAGTCCACATAAGACATTGTGCTGTCAACCCATCATTCCCATGATATTCCACTGATACCTCAAAATAAACTATAAATTTCAGAGGGGAGGGGAACTGGTCAAAGAAGCAGTTCAAATACATGAAACCTATGAGTGTCTCACTCAACTTTCCCTCTCAACTAAAAGCTTGGATCGGCTCTTAGCAGAAACAGTTGCATGCAACTCACAGGGAATCCAAACAATAATATATATACATACGCAAAAGGGAATTCCACTCAGTGACTCCCAACTTTAAGTCAGTGCAAAGGGTTTCAGCATGAATATGTTTTTTGGCTCATGGTGAATGCCACTCAACTGCTTTTCACTGGAAGCACCTGTAAATCTGCTTTGGTCTTTGCTGTTCATTGCTTTCGCTCTCCTCTATTCATTTTGGTTATGAATAAGCTCTGACTCCCCTACAACCTGCTGCTGCAAAAAAAAACAAAAAAAAACACACACACACACACACACAGAACATAGAAGGATTTTTTTTCAGGCACTTTGGAGAATCACAAATTCTAAGACATCACCATCATCTCATCAGAAATCTTATAGGACTACTCTCTAGCAAGAGTTATTGCCTAACGAATTTTGCACCGTCAGACCAAAGAACTGCGGTAAGGCACTGAAATCAAAATTTTTATATTTTATTCAATGCCCATTGATTCTGTCATTCCAAGTTGGTTGTAAGCCATGTATCCTCTTTCCTTTTTCATGTTTGTAATTATATGATCATGCGTTTACAAGAACAGTCTTTGTGGATCCAGGAGCATTGCAGTTCCCTTTCTACAAGTCCCCATCCTGCCAGCCTGCTGATACTTTCCTGCCAGCATCAGATAAAGGCTTTGCTTCACCGAATCAGCCCAATCTGCTTCCACATCCTTCTCATCCTTTGGGCTTTTCAAGAAGACCAACGTGGAAATTGGCATTTTTCACTGTAATCAAAGCTTGCTGATTGAAAAGTGAAAAAGGAACTGTTGACAATAAATTCATTCAAACTGGGAATTCTTCATGGTTCTTCTTGCTCATTTCTAGTTCACCATAAAGAGCAAGCTGAAAAAACTCCTCTTCCGTTAGGGGGGCTGCTGACACCACATCCTTTCCGCTAAGTAGGTCCTGCTCCATCAGCCTTCAGATAGCCTTTGGTTCTACCTGCCTTTGAAACCAGCTTGCAAAAAGAGAAAATGGCCAGAGTTTCTTCTCTCCTGAGGCTCAGTTTGATTCTATGTGAGTAGGGTACCACCATTGTTGGTCTTTTTCTTTTTCTTTCTCTCTCTCATGTTTGCTATCTATCTATCTATCTATCTATCTATCTATCTATCTATCTATCTATCTATCTATCTATCCATCCATTCTGGATCCAAGCAGTTTTTTTCTGCTGATAAGTAAGGGGAAAAGGGTAGCCTTTGGCTACCAGGTAGATTATGCTGGGAAGGGTGGGACCTACATGGGGTAGCCTTTGGCTACCAGGTAGATTATACTGGGCAGGGTGGGACCTACATGGACAAAAGAAAGCCAGTTTGGTGTAGTGGTTTTAGGGTAGGACCTGGGAGAAACAGATTTGAATCCCCACTGTGCCATGGAAGCTCGCATGGCAACCTTGGACCAGTCACACATTTTTAGCCTAATCTACCTCACAGGGTTGCTGTGAGGATAAAACGGAGGAGAGGAGCAGTATCTAAGCTGCTTTGCTCCCCCTTTGGAGAGAAAAGAGGAGTATAAATAAAGTAAGTAAATAAAAAATAAAAAGAAGGCATGAGAGATGGGGAGCTGTAGTAAGAGGTGAAATTGGCTGATACTTAGTATACAGCTACACACACACACACACACGGCTTATGCCCAGGATTCATGAATTTTGTTTATCGGAATTTCATGTAACACACTTATTTTTTTGAACTTCCCCTATGTTCCAAAAACAGTTTGTTAGGCATCTGAGTGAGCAATTTGAAGGTGTTCTGCTCAGAATCCTTCTCAAGTTTATTGAGTGGTGCTTACTCCCAGAAGAGTGTTCTTAAGGTAGCACTGTCGGGTAGCAGTATGTGTGTGTGTAGGTCTACTCTTAAGAAACACACAAAACACCACAGAGCTAATTGCATTGTATTGTGCATTGTGTTGAGACTGTGTCATTATGTGTCATTAGCAATGGTAATTTCATATCTGAAGAAGTGTGTGTGCACACAAAAGTTTATACCTTCAATACAACTTTGTTGGTCCTAAAGGTGCCACTGGACTCAAACTTTGTTCGTTAATTTAATACGTAATTTGCATAGAGCTATTTGACAGGAAGGCCAAACTAAAGAACTAGTAACCAGGGAAATTATTAAGTAATACTGAACAAAGAGACTGAATATATTAAAATTGGAATAAGATTTTTTTAAATGGGCTTCCAAAATAAACCAGAGTTTTCTGGCTTAAGGTACTACAGTTCTGACATATGACTTGCGTATTCAGGAGAGAGACAGAATTCTGGTGCAGAAGGAACTGAAAATAATTTGAGAGATGTACCTAATCATTTATTTATACATTATCTCACATCATCACCGATATGCATAATGCTTAGCAAAGTAACAGACAAGAAGGTTAATGATCTTTTCTCACACTTCTGCTGCCAGTCAAAATTGTTTGAGTTTTTAATATTACAAAAACCCTCTGAAACCTGTTTGGCTGAGGGGAAATTGGGATATGTACCCATGGTACAAGCAATTACCCCTCTTTCAAAAGGCTTTCAACTCCGAAAAAAAAAATCAGTTTCAGATTCTAGCCTGTGAGCACAGTTTGCATGTTATCTACAACACTAGTGTAATAAGAGGGCTTGAGTTTCATCTGTCATTTTGGGGGAATTAACAAACATTTCATTTATTTATTTAATTAAACATATCCCTCCCTCCCCACATTGTAGCCTCAGGGCTGGTACCAATACACACACACACACAACATACATACATACATACATACATACATACATACATACATACAATTAATGCTAGGGTTGCCAGCCTCTAGGTGGGGCCTGGAGATCTCCCACTTTTAAAACCGATCTCCGGACTACAGAGAATCAGCTCCCCTGGAGAAAATGGCTGCTTTAAAGGGTGGACTCCATGGCACTGTGCCATGCTGAGGCCCCTCCCCTTCCCAAACCCCACCAACTCCAGGCTGTACCCCAAAATGTCCAGGTTTCTCCCAACCCAGAGTTGGCAACCCTAATTAATGCAGATTTACAAATTAAAACACTTTACAATAATCCATTAAAATCCATAAAATCATCAGCCTTAATTCAATAAAATCATCAGCATTTAAAACAGCAACACGCCTCAATGGCAGAATAGTGTGGTTCCAGTCCGGCTTTTAGGTTCTACAGGCACTGGGGGGGGGGGGAGGCCTAATCAAAATGGATGCCCGCTGCATCAGCTAAAGGCCTGGTGGAAGAGCTCCATCTTGCAGGCCCTGCAGAACTGTAATAGGTCCCACAGGGCCCTGATCTCATAAAGTAGCTCATTGGACCAGTCAGGGGCCAGAGCCAAAAAGTCGAACATCCTTAGTGCCAGGAAGGGGTCCTGGTTGACAGAACACAATGTTCTACGGGGTTCATATGAGGAAAGGTGGTCTTGAAGATATATACATTCGTAGAAAGGGATATGCAGTCTAAATACCACTGCAGTGACACAGAAAGGCATAGAGTAGCAAAATTGGAAACAGAAAGCCTTCCAAATAACAAGATATGAAAATATTAGAGTTTGATTCCATAACAGATTGTCCCCTCTCCAAGTATGCTCAATTTTGCTTGTGAGGGTTCAATCAAATTCTACAGGCACTGGGGGGGGGGGAGGCCTAATCAAAATGGATGCCCGCTGCATCAGCTAAAGGCCTGGTGGAAGAGCTCCATCTTGCAGGCCCTGCAGAACTGTAATAGGTCCCACAGGGCCCTGATCTCATAAAGTAGCTCATTGGACCAGTCAGGGGCCAGAGCCAAAAAGTCGAACATCCCCAGTGCCAGAAAGGGGTCCTGGTTGACAGAACACAATGTTCTACGGGGTTCATATGGGGAGAGGTGGTCTTGAAGATATATGCATTCGTAGAAAGGGATATGCGGTCTAAATACCACTACAGTGACACAGAAAGACATAGAGTAGTAAAACTGGAAACAGAAAGCCTTCCAAATAACAAGATATGAAAATATTAGAGTTTGATTCTGAGGACTTGAAGCATTTGTTATGGATTAGCAGAACAGATTGTCCCCTCTCCAAGTATGCTCAATTTTGCTTTTGAGGGTTCAATCAAATCTTCGGACTGTAGCTACAATCAAGAACAAAAATGTACAAGGGAGCCCAGGACCACTGAAACCAGTTTCAACATGCTGGACTGTGGCCAGTGAGTTTAAAATGAGGACTTCATACGACAAATAAGACATCTGTGTAATTCGTTCAAGAGAACATAGCATCATTAAAGATCCTTTAAAATATTATACATGTTGAATTAATTATGCAAATATGTATGTTTAATCAAATAATGTGGGAAGGAAGGCAGCATGGTATAACCCCACCTCATCAGATTTCAGAAGCTAAGCAGGGTCAGTATTTGGAAGGGAGTCAACCAAGGAAGACTCTGTAGAGGAATGCACTGAAAAATCACTTTTGCTCCTCACTTGCCTTGAAAGCCCTTGCAGGGGTCACCATAAATCGACTATGGCTTGATGGCCCTACACATACACACACACACACAAACCACTAAATATATGTGCAGGAAGACAGTTGATAAAAAATCTTTATTTGGTGGATGATCTTTTTGAAGCACCATGGACAACACAGGCATCTTGATTTCTGACTACCATTCAACACTATCAGTCTTGGTATCTTTCTGCAGAGGGCTGTGGTGGCTCAGTGGTTAAGATGCTGAACTGCAGACCAGAAGGCTGGCAGAGGGCTGTGGTGGCTCAGTGGTTAAGATGCTGAACTGCAGACCGGAAGCCTGGCAATTCAGCAGTTCGATACCCGAGTGCCACATAACGGAGTGAGCTCCCATCTCTGGTCCCAGCTCCTGCCAACCTAGCAGTTCAAAAGCAAGAAATTGCAAGTAGATAAATAGGTACTGCTTTGGTGGGAAGGTAACAGTGTTCGGTGCACCTTGGCATCTGGTTATGCCGGCCACATGACCACGGAAATGTCTTCGGACAGTGCTGGCTCTTCGGCTTGGAAATGGAGATGAGCACCACACCCTAGAGTAGCATTCGACTGGCTTTTGAGCAAGGGAGACCTTTACCTTTACCTTATCCTTCTGCAGATCGACATGGCTTCTCTCTGAAGCTACAGTTATATGGTTATTATAATTGGGTGGGTTCCACCTAGCTTTTGCGATCCTACCTATTAAAACATTCCTCCCACGAAGTTTTGCCCATGCAGGTTGCATGATCCCCAGCAGTTCCATGATCCCCATGAATGGTAAAAAAGAACCCCTCTCTCTTTTATATCGAGAGAATTTGTTTGGATCCTAACAATTATCTCAACAATTTTAAATGAGGAAAGACCAAGGGACTTGGGGATGTTTAGTCTGGAAAAGAGGAGGTTGGGGGGGGCATGATTGCTCTCTTTAAGTATTTGAGAGGCTGTCACTTAGGGGGAGGGCAGGGAGCTGTTCCTGTTGGCAGCAGAGGACGGGACTCATAATAATGGGTTTAAATTAAGGGCGGGAAGGGACCAGCTGGATAGTAGGAAAAGTTTTTACAGTTAAGAGTTGTGCAACAGTGGAATGGGCTGCCTAGGAAGGTGGTGCACTCACCCTCGCTGGCAGTCTTTAAGCAGCGGCTGATCCTGCACTGAGCAGGGGGTTGGAATAGACGGCCCCTTCCAACTCTGTGATTCTATGATTCTAAATAGACAGGCAAAAGTACGGTATTTCTATTTTATTTTATTTTACATGGAAGCTGTCTTTTTACAACCAAGGTACAAACTAACATCCATATTACAGTGGCCGGACTAGACAGACAAGATCTGCTGGGATCCTTACCTGGAAGTAAATTCCACTGAAATGCACTGAGCTTGCATCAACCAATGGTTGAGTTGCTCTCTTCAGTAGGATAAATGGTTTTACCCTAAAACATAAATGTATAAGTTAAGGGCTATATGGTTCACCTGCGTCAGGATGGGTGGATCAGTATTTTGACATCTGATGCAGGTTTACATTTCAGGATAAGTCAGCAGGCCAGATGTGTTCATGTTCTTACAATATTTGTTTCTTTCAATGACAGCCAGCGTGGTGTAGTGGTTAGAGAGTCGGACTAGGATCTGGGAGACCCAGGTTCAGATGCCCACCTTTCCATGGAAGCTTATCACATGACCTTGGGCCAGTCATACACTCTCAACCTAACCTACCACAGGGTTGTTGTGAGAATAAAATGGAGGAAGGGAGAATGTTGTAAGCAGGGCTCTTTTTGTAGAAAAAGCCCAGCAGGAACGCATTAGCATAATAGGCCACACCCAACAGCAGGAACTCATTAGCCTATTAGGCCACACCCCTGACAGCACAGCTCATTAGCACATTAGGCCGCACCCCCATGTTACCAGAAGTGTGGTCATCCAGCCACACCCACCTTTTGCTTCTTATTCTGTTTACCTTGTTTGTTGTCAAAACCCAGGGCCTTTTTTTGTAGCAGGAACTCCTTTGCATGTTAGGCCACACACCCCTAATGTAGCCAATCCTAATGAGTTTCTGCTGTTGGGTGTGGCCTATTATGCTAATGAGTTCCTGCTGGGTGTGGCCAACTTGGGAGCCAGCCGGAACTCCATTCCTGTGCGTTCCTGCCCAAAAATAGCCTTGGTTGTAAGTCACTTTGTGGGTATAAATGAAATAAATATTTAATCAAACCTTGAGAAGAACACGCTTTGCATCTTTTGGGTTGGGTCTTCCCAGCTTTTTTGTTGGTGAAAAGGGAAGGAGGAACTTTGACCATTCAAAAAGGTTATACCGGGGATCATGGGTCCTGAATGTACAAAAGCCAAGTGGGATAAGGTCTGTAGTTAGAATGGAAATTGGGCAGGATTGAGAGAAAAGGTTCGTTGGAACTAAACTTTGACAGCAGTCTGTAAAATAAACTCTTTGGATGTCTCTTCTCTCCCCAGGCTACTGCAGCTCCCAGATTAATACTATGAAAATTAAGATGGTTAGTAAACCTGAAGCCATCAATGCCCGGGTGGAACTGGATTGTGAAACAAAATATCCAGACCATGGGGTGTACTGGATCCATCAGAACAATAGCAAGGAACCCAAATTCATCTTATACATTAAATCAAGACCACAATCAGTACCAAATGACCAACCTTATGACATCTCAAAAAGTGGCAACACTTACAAACTGATAGTGAAAGCATTCAAGAAGCAGGACGAGGGCATTTATAACTGCATTGTCCTTCACAACCAGGTTTTACACTTCAGTCCAGACCTCCCAGTCTACCTGCCAGGTAAGCTCTTTCAAGAACCTTTAGTAGCCACTGGAGGAGATGCAAAAAGTTCCTACTTGATCTTTCATCCAAGTGTGTTGTTTTACGCCGTGTAGCCCACCATGAGTCTCCGTGAGAAAGGAGGGCTATACATAAGGTAAACAAATAATTAAATTTAAAAATGTTGGGGCAACTTCTTGTGGTCCTTTCTTACATGCCAAGGGAAACGCTGATCGCCACTTTGGGGTCAGGGAACAATTTTTCTCCAGGCCAGTCTGGCCAGGGATCCTGGAGGGTGGGGTTTTGGTTTTTTTTGCCATCTTCTGGGCATGGAGCAGGGGGTCACTGGGTGCGGGGGGAGGTATTTGTGAATTTCCTGCACTGTGCAGGGGGTTGGACTACATGACCTGGAAATCCCTTCCAGCTCTATGATTCTGTGATTCTAAGTGTTTAGCCAGATTGTTCTTTCTCTTCATATCTTGTGATACCCTTTGGGTTTCCAATCTCCAGGCAGGAGAAAAATGATTTATTCTGCACTGCTTTCCTACAGTAAACAAATAATTAAATTAAAAGGTGTTGGGGCAACTTCTCATGGTCCTTTTTTACATGCCAAGGGAAATGCTGATCGCCACTTCGGGGTCAGGGAACAATTTTTCTCCAGGCCAGTCTGGCCAGGGATCCTGGAGGGTGGGGTTTTGCTTTTTTTGCCATCTTCTGGGCATGGAGCAGGGGGTCACTGGGTGCCGGGGGAGGTATTTGTGAATTTCCTGCACTGTGCAGGGGGTTGGACTACATGACCTGGAAATCCCTTCCAGCTCTATGATTCTGTGATTCTGTTTAGCCAGATTGTTCTTTCTCTTCATATCTTGTGATACCCATGAAGTCTGCTAATTGATTTTATTTACAGTGAGAACCACCCAAGCTCCCACAACTCAACGGCGTGCTCCAGAAACCCCAAACCCTAACAATCAACACATCACCAATGGACCCAATAAATGCTCCGATGCCACAGTTACAGGTATGTGAATGTGGCCCTTAAGCACTTTATAACTGATGCCAAAGGGGCAACTGTTTTTGTAATGACTATTATGTCATATTCCATGCCTTCTTCTACTGTGTGGGAGTAACTGTTCTGTAGTATTTCAGTATCTCCCTCTCTTTGTGTGTGCAGCCACCATATCTCTGAAAGGATATTACAGTTCTGGAGAAAGTCCTGGAGAAAATACAGAAGAGGGCAAAGAAGTTGATTAAGTGGTTGGCTCATCTTTCATATGAGGAACGGGTGGAGAGTCTGCGACTTTTCAGTTTAGAAAAAAGAAGGCTGAGGGGAGACATGGTAGAGGTTCATAAAATTAAGCTTGGGGTAGAAGAAATGGAAAGAGGGAATGTTTTCTCCTTCTCTCATAATATTAAACTTAGGGACACCCACTGAAGTTGATGGACAGACAAAAGAAAACACTTCTTTACTTAACAAGTAATTAAATTGTGGAATTCACAGCCGGTGGATGTAGCTATGGTCACAAGTGTAGATTGCTTTAAACGGCATTTAGACAGATTCATGGAGGAGGCACTTATCAATGGCTGCTAGTCATGGTGTGTAAAAGGAACTTCCATATTCAGAGGCAGAAAACATCTGAAACCCAGTGCTAGGAGGCAACCTCAGAAGAAGCACTCGACTTCTATGTCATTTGTCAGCTGTCCAGGATAACTGGTTGGCTGTTGTATGAGATAGGATGCAGGACTAGAGAAACCATTGGTATGATCCAGCAGAGCTCTTCTTATGTTCTTATGTGTGTTTTAAAATGTGAATTTCCATAGAAGGATATTGGGGGTCAGTCAGAACTGGATGAGGGAATAAGGGAGCCCCCAGAAATCTAAGCTTCTGGGGTTGAAACTGGTGCTGAGTCATGTGTGTATAAAGTGCAGACAAGTCACAGCTGACATAATGGCCCTGTAGGTTTTTCAAGGCAACAAACCTACAGAGGAGGTTTACCATTGCCTTCCTGCATGTAGCCACCCTGGTATTCCTTGGGGGTCTCCCATTCAAATACTAACCAGGGCCAACCCTGCTTAGCTTCCAAGATCTGATGAGGAGTCATCAAACAGCTTGTAGATGTGATGATATTAGGACAGGATCAGGCAAAAAATGGAAAGAGGCAGCAGGAAGCCACTTGGTTTGATAGGGAGTGCCTTGAAGCGAAGGCCCAAGTATGATCTTTGTATCAGATTTATAGGAGTTCTTGTTGTGAGTATTTCCCAGCAGTATATTTTGAAGCCAAAGCATCCTTAAGTAAATTGTTCAGAGAGAGAAAAAAGCCGCCCTACAGAAAAACTGGGAGCCTCTTCTGCAAG